ATGCATGAATGTTCGTAATAAGGCAAATAGGACACTGGGATTTGTTAATCGAAGCGTTAGTAACAAGACACCTGGTGTGGTTCTTCAGCTATATCTTGCTCTGGTTAGGCCCCATTTAGATTATGCAGTTCACTTTTGGTCGCCGTACTATAGAATGGATATAAATTCACTTGAACGTGTCCAGCGTAGGATGACAAAGTTAATTCCCCAAATTAGAAATCTTCCATATGAAGAAAGATTAACAAAGCTTAAATTTCATTCACTGGAAAGGCGAAGAGTTAGGGGTGACATGATAGAAGTTTACAAGTGGATGAATGGACATAACAAAGGGGATATTAATAGGGTATTAAAAGTATCAACTCAAGACAGAACACGAAACAATGGGTATAAATTGGATAAGTTTAGATTTAGGAAAGACTTGGGTAAATACTGGTTCAGTAACAGGGTTGTTGATTTGTGGAACCAATTGCCGCGTAACGTGGTGGAGGTGGGGTCCCTCGATTGTTTCAAGCGTGGGTTGGACAAGTATATGAGTGGGATTGGGTAGTTATAGATAGGAGCTGCCTCGTATGGGCCAATAGGCCTTCTGCAGTTACCTTTGTTCTTATGTTCTTATGAAACAATCGGGATGATAATGGACAGAGTGCATCGTGATCCGGCTTGTACTCTTCTTGACATATCAGAAAAAAATACTAAGAAAGCTACTTCCAGCCTGCACTAAAGAGGCATCCTTCTTGAATCCAGATGGGCATATGTATAAGCAAGTAGGTGGGGTCGCCATGGGTTCTCCCCTTGGTGTCCTGCTTGCGAATTACTACATGGGTACCATTGAGCAGAGGGTCTTAGTTGACATGGACTTGAAAACCGCCATATACTGCAGGTATGCTGACGACATTTTTATGCAGGTACCTGATATCAGACGTCTGCAGCAGCTGAAGGAGGCATTCGAGCAGAAATCTGTGTTAAGTTTTACTTACGAGATGGAGAATGATGGGAAGCTGCCCTTTCTAGATGAAACAGTCACGGAAAAGATAAGAGGCTTCCACACTGCAGTCTACACTAACAAACATAGGAATGTGCCTCAGTGCCAATAGTGACTCCCCAGACAGGTACAAGAGGAGTGTTGTTAATGCTTTCGTCGACCGTGCTCTCAGTCACAGCTCAGGATGGAAGCAAGTCGATGAAGAACTCAGAAGGAGTAAGGCAGGTCCTAGTCAACAATGGCTTCTCTAGGGGTTATGTTGAAGACGTCATAAAAAGAAAGGTGAAACGCCATGCAACCTCTGAAGAGTCAACTAGCACAACACTTGTACCCCATATTAGTCTTTTTACAAGACCTTTTTTTGACGGCTCATAAAACGGAGGAAAAGGTCCTGAAAGAGATCATTGACAGGAACGTTATCCCTACAGATAAAAATGAGAAAATGTAATTGACAATTTACTACAAAAACAAAAAAAACAACCAACCTACTAATGAGAAACGCCCCAGACACCAACGCCTTGAAGGAAACCAACGTCGTCCATGTCTTCACATGCCCGCTTGGGGACTGTAAGCTCCAAAGAACTCAGTATATAGTAATAGACAAGACAATAACGTTTCTTTTTAGGCGATAAACAATGCACAAACAACAGGGCTCCATCAAGGAACATATAATCTCTTCTCACAACCAGACCATCACCAGAGAAATCTTCACACGCAACACAGAAGTCATCGATAAATACAGTGATAGCAGGAGATTCGACATCAGAGAGGCACTACACACCAAAAAGTCAACACCAGCAATCAACAGCCAATTAATGCACAAGTGTATTCCTCCCACTTCAAGGCTCCGAACCAACACAGAAAAAGCAAGAGGAAGTATGGGCCAATGTGCCTTCTGCAGTTACTTTCATTCTTATGTTTTCATACCCAGTGATACATGTTCTGGCACAGCTTTGTCACCTCACCCAAAACTTTTGTGTCATATCAACTCTCCCAAAAAGAGTATAAGTATGATGTATGTTTTGTGTAAACTAGTCTTTGAAAACGTAATGAGCAATACGAAATGCGTTCAGGCATCAGACCAAAAATAAAAGAATGAATTTTGGAGAGTTAATTTTTTCAGTTACCATCGACATTGAAGAAAATCGTAAGAAATATTGAGAAGATTTGTGTTAGAATTATTAATCTTAGCCTTTCGGTTTTATTCAACAACATTTGTTTACAAGAAAGACTCCTAACAAAATATACTAATATCTATATATATATATATATATATATATATATATATATATATATATATATATATATATATATATATATATATATATATATATATATATATATATATATATATATATATATATATACATATATGCAAACAAGCCTGAATGGTCCCCAGGACTAAATGCAACTGAAAACTCACACCCCAGAAGTGACTCGAACCCATACTGCCAGGAGCAACGCAACTGGTATGTACAGGGACGCCTTAATCCGCTTGACCATCACGACCGGACATAAGGAAGTGATAGCCGAAGCTATTTGAACCACTTCCCCGCCGGCACTCGGATGGTATTTTTCAGCATAGCATTTTATCAAATCACCTCATTCTTTGGGGCACACGTGAGGAACACAAGTGCGAACAAGCCTGAATGGTCCCCAGGACTATATGCGACTGAAAACTCACACCCCAGAAGTGACTCGAACCCATACTCCCAGGAGCAACGCAACTGGCATCTACAGGACGCCTTAATCCGCTTGACCATCACGACCAGACATAAGGAAGTGATAGCCGAAGCTATTTGAACCACTTCCCTTCCGGCACTCGGATGGTAATCTTGGGCATAGCATTTTATCAAATACCTCATTCTTTGGGGCACACGTGAGGAACACAAATGCGAACAAGCCTGAATGGTCCCCAGGACTATATGCGACTGAAAACTCACACCCCAGAAGTGACTCGAACCCATACTCCCAGGAGCAATGCAACTGGTATCAACAGGACGTTTTAATCCGCTTGACATTCACATCGAGTCACTTTAGGGGTGTGAGTTTTCAGTCGCATATAGTCCTGGGGACCATTCAGGCTTGTTCGCATATATATAATGTGTGTATACAGAATAACACAAAAAATTTTATGTTTCATTTTCCTTAGAAAATAATATAACATTCATCTTAGTGACACGAGGTATGAGCATTCTTATGTGCTATACATTATATTATATACATATCTCAAAAGACACACTATTGAATAATATTACTAAAAAAAACTAAGAACCAATCAGAAATATTTGAGTAAATTTATACAAATTGTATTCGTGGTATATCCCACCTGACAGCTGGCTCAGTGGGATCATCACCTCCGAGCACTTACTCGATGAATGTTCATCATCAATCACACAGCCTCATCTTTGTGAGGCTTCCAGGCCAGAGAAAGTCACATAATACCGTTTTTGTATTCTTCTTCAGTAATCAGATAATGCAATTTAATAATATTAGAAGAAAAAATATTTGTTTATATGCTTTTCCTTGCGTACCAGGGAATTATTAGCTATCCGCCGGTGCGCAAGGAAAGGTTTAGAATATACGTTACTAGAAGTTTTAAATTATTGAATCAGGCAAGCTCCAAAACACTGGAAAGATTGTGAAAATCTCCACAGCAAATTACCACAAAATCTCGGATTGTGGATATACAAAGGAAACAACGATGTACTGTATTATGATGGTAAAATGAAAAACGAAGATTAAATTTAGATACAATGCATCCATGACTCCTACTGAGACATCATTGGGCCTTAGAGTAGATTTATTTACATATCAACAAATAATTAAACTTGAAGGCGTGTTAGACAACCGGGCTCAGCTGAGAAAACAGTGCTGTATTCTTCAGGGACAATATTATGTTAAAATAATCTAGAATTATTGCATATCATGCAGGAGCTGTGATGCGTGAATGTGTCCTTTCCCTGGACATTGTTTTACACCTGCGACTTTGCAACAACTGGTGTAGACTACACAGGTGCCATCAAACTTATAGTTACCGACCACAAATGCACAATGAAAGTGTATATCTGTTTATTCACCTGTGCAACAACTCAATCACTTCAATACCAAATAACACCTGACAGACATGACAGCTCAATCATTTATATAGTCTTTACATAGATTTACTGCACGCCGACCATTCCCTAACTGATGACTTCAGACAATGGTCCTTATTTGGTAGCAAGAGAGGCTTGTTTGTCAGATATCTTCTCACACCCTGCAGTCTTTACAGCACTGGAACATTGTCAGTACAAAGGAAAATTTATTCCACCTGAAGCCCGATGGTATGGAGGTTTTTGTGAATGACTGGTAGGAATTATGACGAGATATTTAACCACTGTACTGCACCGCTATTCCATATGACAAGCCCCTGGTGCGTGGATTTCATATTCAATAGCGATGCGAAACCATGTTGAACCCAAAACTAAATTTTACCATGTGAAACTTGATATTTCTGATCAGCTATCCTTCAGACTCGTTTTAAATCCCCTTACAGCTCCTGTGCATTGACTAGGTATGAAGTTTATCAATGCTTTGTGTTTTTTCTTTCAGTTCTGTTTCTCATGATATTCTCTCTAGAAATTATATAACTTACTGATACATATACCGAAACAATCTTCTACTCTTTCCTTCCTATTGTCATAGCTTTCTTAAAAATTTCTTGATCAAATTTCTTGATACACAAGCGTTATTTACCTAATAGGCCTTTAATGCTCATAGTTCTCGATATCCACTTTGTTTTGTGTGAAGACTGGGTCACAGCTTGCTACTTGGTCTCCCCCTCATCTCTGTTTTTCCTTCCTAATATATTGTCTTTGAAAGTTTCTTTCTGAAACTTATAAAAGTTTTTTCCACATGTCTTTCCTTTCACTCTTAGATCCCTTGATTCCCAGGTAATTTGCCCATGATGAAATCTTCTGTTACTAGTATGTCTTCTCTCAGTCTTGTAGATATTTCAGCGACATATAATATTTATTCACACATTGTATTTTCTAATTCTTGTCAGGGGTCTTCTGTTATTCTCTGGGGGAATTGTAAACGACAGCAATAACCAATGTTTTCCTTCTGCAACATTGTCCTTATTATTGGCGTTCTCTTCTAACCTAGATTCTCTTTTGACCAGTAGCTCCACTCTACTACCATCTGCTTTCTTTCTCTTTCTGCTATCTGGATTGTCTGAGAAATATTGCATTCATTGATTGTTTCAGTTTGGTTTCTACTATTACTGTTTCATTGGGGTTTGTTTTATCCGTGGGAGTGGAGGGGTGTGAGGTAGGGATACATGAATATGTACTATGCAATAGAAATTAAGAAGTGGAAACGTGATAGTTAAGCAGGTGTGAGGGAAAAGGAATGAGTGAAATGGTGGATGGTGGTTGTATGTTAAGTTTTGTTGATGGAAGGATATAACTGTAGGTTCGGTCATAATTACATATTGTAAACAATGGTAATTTTATGTTTTTTTCAGGCTATTCTTGTATTCTACCAGACTCCTACCTCTCCGTGTCATTTATTTGATCTCGTTGCTCCTGAGGCTTAAAAGAAGTGGCATGGTTTCCTCTTCCCTGTTGCCCTCTTCTCTCTTCCTCTACGCCTCGAATTCACTCTCACTCTCCTTCCTTCTTGGTCTTTCCCAGTGTCCTTTCCGTTCTTCATCTTTATATCCGCTTTATTCATGCTATATTAAAGGTATACCTTTCTGTACCTTACTATGTTTCTCAGGTTAGCTTTTCAGGTTAACTTATCTCATCATGAATTCTGCCTTTCATTTATAAATACAAGTTTTAGTGGTCTTTTCTTCGGTATTTCTTTCCTGTTGCACATGAACCTACTTGGAATCAGTTACAAATTATTCTTACCTTGGTATGCACTTGTCCTTTCTGGAAGGCCTTGAATAATCATTGTTTACTTATTTGGTTTATGCTTCTTGTCTGTAATTTCATGTTCTTCAAGTTTGCTGTTTGCAGAGTAACATCCTTTTCCTTAGCTAACTTTTTTGTGACTATTAAGGCCCATATGTTTCCCCTTCCCCCTCTCAGATCCATTGATTCCAGTGAATTTGCCCTTCATTGAAATTTCCCATTACTAGTAGGCTTGCTCTTAATCTGGGGGGAGAATTCAACTACACTTTGTATGGTATTTATGCAAGCTCTGTTTCCATTTTCATATTCTTGTCTGGCACTGTTATGATTCCTTGTGGGATTGTAAATGAAAGCTACAACCATTTTTTCTTCAATGGAAATGATTCATGCAACACATTGCATTAATGGTATCCTCTTCTATCGACAACTCTTCATACCTGCTGTCTCTTTTGACAAGCAATGTCACTCCTCCCTCCTGCTGTCTTTCTCTTCTTGCTATCTGGCATTGTCTGGGGAATGTTGGGTTATTAGATAAGCATTAGTTTCTACTATTGCTATTATATCAGGGTTTGATATATCAGTCCTTTCCTTTAATTCATCGCCTTTGACAAACCATCAGCATTTTTTAACTAGATTTTTAGGTTGGTTATTTATACGCCATTAATACTACCAGCCTGGTTATGTGATTCTGGGTTCGTTCAGGTGTAGATTGCAAGAAAAGGGTTTGAAGATTGTTTCGAGGAAGGAACCTGAGAGTGGAAGGCAGTAAGGTTGAGTTGTAATCGGAACAGGGAAGACAGGAGGCCTTGTTGGCTGGGTGTAGACTATGTTTATATGCTGTGGATCTGAAATCAATGAGGTACAACGAAAATTATGGAGTGTGTGGGGGAGGGGGATAGATAGAATGAAAGATGGGTATTGAGAAGTTATTTGGTTGATACCTGGTTGATGGAGTTCTGGGAGTTCTTCTACTCCCCAAGCCCGGCCTGAGGCAGGCTTGACTTGTGAGAGTCTGGTCCACCAGGCTGTTGCTTGGAGCGGCCCGCAGGGCCACGTACCCACCACAGCCCGGCTAATCCGGAACTTCTCTTAGAAAACCGTCCAGTTTTTTCTTGAAGATGTCCACGGTTATTCCGGCAATATTTCTTATAGTCGCTGGGAGGACGTTGAACAACCGCGGACCTCTGATGTTTATACAGTGCTCTTTGATTGTGCCTATGGCACCTCTGCTCTTCACTGGTTCAATCTTGTATTTTCTTCCATATCGTTCAACCAGTACGTTGTTATTTTACTGTATAGATTTGGAACCTGACCCTCCAGTATTTTCCCTGTGTATATTATTTGGTATCTCTCTCGTCTCCTTTCTAGAGAGTACGTTTGGAGAGCTTTGAGACGATCCCAATAATTTAGGTGTTTTATCTCGTCTATGCGTGCCGTATATGTTCTCTGTATTCCCTCTATTTCAGCAATCTCTCCTGCTCTGAAGGGGGAAGTGAGTACTGAGCAGTACTCGAGACGGGACAGCACAAGTGACTTGAAGAGTACAACCATTGTGATGGGATCCCTGGATTTGAAAGTTCTCGTAATCCATCCGATCATTTTTCTGGCTGACGCGATATTTGCTTGGTTATGCTCCCTAAACGTTAGATCGTCGGACATCATTATTCTCAAATCCTTGACATGCTGTTTTTCTACTATGGGAAGATTCGATTGTGTTTTCTACCCTGTATTATGTTTCAGATCCTAATTTTTGCCGTACCTGAGTACTTGAAATTTATCACTGTTAAACATCATGTTATTTTCTGCTTCCCAATCGAAAACTTTGTTGACATCTGCTTGTAGTTTTTCAATGTCTTCAGCAGAGGTAATTTTCATGCTGATTTTTGTGTCATTTGCAAAGGACGACACGAAGCTGTGACGTGTATTTTTGTCTATATCAGATATGAGAATAAGGAACAGTAGCGGTGCAAGGACTGTACCTTGAGGTACAGAGCTTTTAACGTCGCTTGGACTCGATTTTATCTGATTGACTGTTACTCTTTGTGTTCTGTTCGACAGGAAATTGAGTATACAGCGTCCTACTTTTCCAGTTATTCCCATTGACCTCATTTTGTGAGCTATCACCCCATGGTCACATTTGTTGAACGCCTTTGCAAAGTCTGTGAATACAACATCTGCATTTTGCTTTTCTTCTAGGGCTTCTGTGATTTTGTCATAGTGGTTGAGTAACTGTGACAGACAGGATCTTCCCACTCTAAATCCATGTTGTCCTGGATTGTGCAATTCATTGTTTTCCATAGAACTAGAAATTTGATTCCTAATCACTCTTTCAAACACTTTTATTATGTGTGATGTTAGTGCAACTGGCCTATAATATTTGGCCAAGGCTTTACTCCCCCTCTTGTGCAACAGAGCTATATCTGCAGATTTAAGTGCTGCTGGTATCTCCCCTGTATCCAGGCTCTTTCTCCATATTTCGCTGAGTGCTCTCGCTACTGGTACTTTACATTTCTTTATGAATATTGAATTCCATGAGTCTGGCCCAGGAGCTGAGTGCATAGGCATATTGTAAAATTTCTCTTTCAAAGTCTTCCGAGTTTGTGGTAATATCCGTTATATTATCTGCAGCTTGAATGTCCCTCATAAAGAAGCTGTCTGGGTCATCAACTTTCATGTTGTTTATTGGTGTGCTAAACATAGCCTCATACTGGCTTCTTAGAATTTCACTAATCTCTTTGTTGTCCTCTGTGTACGTACCTTCATTTGTAATTAACGGTCCAATACTGGTCGAGTTTTGGATTTTGATTTGGCGTATGTGAAAAAATATTTCGGATTTTTCCTTATCTCTTGTATAGCTTTCTGTTCCAATTCCATTTCCTCAGACTCATATGATCGCTTCAACGTTTGTTCTATTTCTTCGATCTCCCTGCTTAGGCTTGTTTTCCTTGCTTGTGATAGTTGTGTCTGCCGAAGCATTTCTGTTATTTTTTTCCTTCTCCTGTACAGTCGTCTGCGTTCTATTTCTAGAGTGGTCCTCTTTCTGCCCCTCCTCACAGGTACGTGCTTCAAGCAGACCTCGTAAGCTTCAGCTGTCAGTTGAGCTATTCCCTGTGTGGGAGTTTTGTCGCTTAAGGCCGTCTTCCATTGAATGGTTGCAAGGTCTACATTTATTTTTTCCCAGTCAATCCTCTTATTATTGAAATTGAATTGATTGAATATTCCTTCTCGCTTGTTGGGTCTCTTAGACCTACTACCGTTATTTATGCTAGTTCGCATTTCAATGAGCTTATGGTCTGAGTATGAAGCATCTGAGATTGTGATGTCTCTGATTAGTTCATCATTGTTTGTGAATAACAAGTCTAGTGTGTTTTCGTTCCTAGTTGGTTCTGTAATCTGTTGATTGAGCGAGAAATTGTCACAGAATCTCAAAAGTTCTCTGACCTGTGGTTGGTTATTTCCCGGGTCATTCCCTGCTATGATATTTGTGTTTGCCATTCTCCATCTTAGACTCGGTAAATTGAAAACTCCAAGGAAGATAATATCTGGAGCTGGGTTTGCTAGGTTGTCAAGTATGTTCTCTATTTTGTGCATCTGCTCTGTGAATTCCTCAACCGTTGTATTTGGCGGTTTATATATTAGAATAATAATTAGGTTTATTTTCTCTACCTTAGTTCCAAGTACCTCTACCACCTCATTAGTTGAGTTTAATAGTTCTGTGCATACCTGGTCTTCTTTAATATACAGACCTACTCCTCCATTTGACTTAGTTTTTCTATCACATCTATATAAATTATAATTTGGAATCCAGTTTTCACCATCCATGTAATCTTTTGTATGAGTTTCCGTGAATGCCCCAAATATTGAGTTTGACTTGTGACGGTAAAGTGTTGGAGTGTTGATGTTCGGCAGTCCTCCAATGGCAGGTGGCAATGCCTTGTCACACTTACAGAAAAAAAAGAGACTGCTTGCCTGTTTGTCTGTGGTAAGGTAATGGGAAGACACACAAAACACAAAATATAAGCAATGAAATTTTAATTACTTTAGAAAACAAGATATGAACAAAGACAATCCCTTGGCTTACGTAAAATTCAAAACAAGTCAACAAACAAAACATGAATAATTAATGAATGTAAAATTTACTCTAAAACAAAATAAAGTGCAAGACAATATTAATGATAATCAGGTGCTGAGAATACTGGCTTGAGCTGCCACCTCCCTTAGTACACGACAGCCAGGGCTTAGTCTACCAGAGAGAGATGTCAACTTCTAAGAGCACAGAGATATTCTGAGGAGTACGGCATGAGCTGGCCCAGA